ATAATGAGTACAAATTGTAATGAGTACACAATAAAAAGGATGCCACTGGAGAGCCATAGAGAACCATGGGAAAGGGTAGAGCAGACAGTGAATTAAGTTACAAAAGGCTGAATTAAGGATGGGGCCATAAAAAAGCACAACTCTTAAAATCAAGCTGCATTCTATGAGACAGGATATGTAAAGGAAGTGACATGAAGCATACATTGGCCTAAAACCAAGAACCTAAGGAATGGGTGGTTGAGGCATGAAGAAATCGAGAGCCAAGGAAATTAAATCAAGGTGGGGAATGAAACTAGGGCACTATTGGCCCCAAAAAAGTTAAACAAATGAGTTTGGGAATAATGTGCTGCAATCCCTGATGTTAAGTCCTGTTGAATGAAATAGAACTTACTTCTCACTACACATGTATAGGATTGCATTGTTAGGGATTTTAGGACAGGACATGGCTGCAGCATCTGAAAGAGCTGCAGAGAAGGGAATTCTTGCTTTTGCAGATTCTACTTTCACTGCAGCAAATCAAATCAAAGAGGTCAATAAAAGCTAAAACAAAGTGTATGTGTTTGAGAGGGAGATTTAATTATTAATTTGAACTAACCAGCCAATTCTTCAGCTGCATGCTATTAGTGAGTTCCAATAGCTGCTAAGACTGTGCTTTGTTCTCTATTTACTAAGCAGATAGTTACGTGCTGAGGCCCCACAGCACCCGTCATCACATCCAACAATTACCAGATAAGAAAGAGTGCATGGGGGGGCACTAGGGGCGCATTGGAAGATGGCCGACAATAACATCTCTCCGACCCACACGAGGTAATTAAGAGGCTGTTATGGGAGTATGCAGCCTCCCTGCCCCCCCCAAGGGAATGGGGGGACTGCCCTTGCCTGCTGTGCCCATAAATCACCCCCAGATTCAAGGGGGTGAGGGCACTAGGCAGAACGCCCTTGTGTGGACCTCGGCTCTCCTGGACACTGTCTCTGATTGTGCCACTAGCTGCAGCAACATGAAAATAAACAATTAGGAAGAAGCAAATGCACATATTTCAAGTGAAGAATGGGGAGTAAAGACGACTAATTGAAGGGACCTCTGTGAAAGACGACAGGTCGGATATACAGGAATATATCATGAGAAGACACATCAAGGCTCGGTACGTCGGCAACGGGACTGAATGGGGGGGGGACTTTCCTTTCTTTTTTCTATGTGATTAATCAATAATCCCCCCTCACTAGTCAGAAATGCCGCTTAAATGACCTAAGCTGGATGATTTCAGACTGTGTGGAAATAAATTTTAACCAAAAGCATGTTTTAAGGAGATCGAGGAAAGTACAAGAGCTTTGGGATGACGCAGTAAAAAATAGCGTCGCCATTTTGGCAAGTTCTATCGGAAGTTTTATGTCTGGGAGGAGAATTGGATTTGTTTTCATACTGCGGGCGAACCTCCTCAGAGGACTAAAGAAGGCGACAGATTTGTGAAGATTGATGATGGAAAGAGTGCTTTTATTTATGGAAGTGATGATATATGGAAACCATCTTGATATGGCTATTGGACGAACGGAAAAATTCACACAGGATTACAACTTGTTTTTACCTGCTTAAGGAGATTATCAGAAGAGGTCACAAAGAGAAAGGAAAAACAATTGAAAATAACAAGATGAGATGTGGGAAACAGCAAGATAGGACTGGATAGAATTATGAACATTATCTGGACAGATTTGTGGACAATAATGCAGCAGCAAGAAGATGATTGGATCCCCTTCGGAACTTGAAATATGGGTACCCCCAACAAAAATTTAAAATTCGGCTTTGTAATTTGGAATTTATGTGATGTGATTTGATTTGATTTGATTTGATTGGTTGGTTAATAAAAAATATTTTTTTTAAAAAAGAAACAGTGCATTGGGATGAAATAAGGCCACAACTTTATTGAATTACAGATATCCTAGGTGTGGCATAGGCATTGGGTATTACCATTGATTTCAGGCCCACCTGCCAGAATTTAGTTATCTGGTCAACAAACAGGGGTCCTGTGACCTACATCATATTGAGTCACCTGTTGCAGGATTACTGTTTTGAGGAGTGCTGTGGTCCCCACCCCCACCTGGGCATATGGACAGAAGCAATTCCTCCTGGATCCCTTTAACGGAATAGCCAGTAATTGGAGGTGCAGGCAGAGGCTAGAACCTCCCCTCCAGCCAAGACTAAGGCTTACCCAATGCCTATAGCACCAAAGCTGTGATGATTACTATGAGGTAGATGAAAACCACAAGGCATGAACCATTTTGCCTGGTGGGAAAAAATGGAACAGGTGAGGCTGCAGTTCCCTTATTTTGGCTGCTGATCCCTTATTTTCAAGGCTGCTGGTCCCTTATTTTCAAATCTGTAAGTTGACAGCTATGACCCAGGGTCAAGGGCAGGCTGGTATTTATTCCCTAGGAGCAGTGCTTTTTTGGGTGGACTACGCAGGGGTATGCATACCCCTAAATATTTTGTGAATGTTTGTACTTTTGTCCATTTGTTGTATTTATTTTTCCTGATCTGAACGATAAAATGGTGATTTTCTTGAGTCAAAATGAGAGTACCCCTAAACATATTTTTTAGGGAAAAAAGCACTGCCTAGGAGTGAACCCAAGGGAAGTCTTGGCCTCTGTTGGGCTTATCCCCAGGGAGGTGCCTGTCATTCAGGCCTGCCCAACATGGGCCAATTCATGGGTAGGCCTCAATCGAAAACCTGGCTAGTGAAGCAAGCTACTCCACCGGCTGGAAAACCTAAGATTGGAGGGCCACATGGGATCATAACATAATGCAGAGGCACCAGGCTGCAATGCAGACTTATGGGATTACCCATTTTGGGTCTGCCGGTATTTTCTGCCCATTCAACTATAAGGGTCAGTGGCAGAGCACATGGTTTGTAAGAAAAGGAAGCCAAGTGGTTTCTTAAAATGGATGTTTCTTCTCCATTCTTCACACATTCACAGTGTCTCCATATTCTTTAGATTGTGGTTGCGTGTCAAGGTCCCTAAGCCATCCCAATAAAACACAATTCACGCAGAATTTTTGTTTAAGGTTTTTGGCATAATTTTGGCCACAACTTTATTAAAATACAAAAAATGTGAGTGGTTGCTTAGGCATTGGTTGTGACTATCTGTCCCCGCCCGGGGATAGACTGACATTCACATGCCTGCAAAAGTCAGAAAGGGAAAACATTTTGGGGAGAAAGATGGAGCTGGGAACCATGCCCTCACCTCTCCCCAAATGCTCCCAGCGGCTCTTCCATGGCCCTAGCTCCTTGACAGGGGTTCGGACAAAAGCATGGCGAGCCCCTGGTTTCCTTTAATGGAATACCCTCGCAGCAGCAGCATTGGAGGGACAGGTACAGCCAATCCATGCCCCTCCACCAACCAATTCATAAAACCAATGCCTAACCGCAACCTTACAAGTTGTGACGATTTGCTACGCAGCAAGCACAAACCAAATGGCACCAGCCAATCAGCCAAATGGACAAAATTCCAACCAGGCCCCTGCCCCAAAAGCAGACGACCCCATGACAGGCATAGCAAGGTCAAAGCGAACAACCCTAAATATAGGGAGGATGGGCGGGTGATGGTAGTCTGATGCACGCAGTGAAAAGAGGAAGCTCAATGCTGCATGCAGGGAATATAAAACTTCTTAGCTGTTAAAAAATGGCAACATCAATTACTCCCCAACTACAAGAGGAACCCAATCGCAATGGTGGCCAACTACCTTTACCTGTCCAGCAACAGTGGGATGTCTTGTAAGACCCCACCGCAACATGTGCTCTTCATGAAGGAGAACACGCTTTGTTGTTGTTTGGGGAATGGTTTGTAGTTCAACTCCCTTTCTTTCCACTGTGTGGGGTTTGGAAAGCAAAATATAACGCTTATTGTTTTAAAGTCCGTTTGAATTTTGCAGGTATGGTTAACATTCAACGTTATTCATTGAAAAGGCTGTTGAGCACATGACATAAATGCAATTTATCAGTGATATTCATAGCTGGGCTTTTCTCAAATAAATTAGTTCATTGTTTCACTGAGATCTTGTAAAACACGCTATATTTTTCACCCTCCCATACCCCTCTGGCATTTCTGTTCCATCATTCACCAGTGTTTGCATCACCCCACATAAACCTTTGATCAGCAGTTTTAAATTTTCTGCTTCCTTTTCTCTCTATCACAGTTGAGTAGGATGAAAAAATATGACTTGGGTTTACTCACCTATGAAACCACTTCCTTTCACATTTTCCATTGCAGTTTATATGGCTAGGAAAGAACAGCTTCTTGGGACTGTAACTTGTGCTTCTTGAGTCCTTGATTTGGAACCATGGTAAGGTATGCTCTTCTACAGCAGTCTCTTCTCTTATGCATTAAAAAACCAACAACACTTGCTTATTAATATCTACCAGGAATCATAAAATATGAATTTGAACAACTCTATATAGCTGCTATGGATCAACAGCCTTAATTATTTTTGTAGGGATGGTAAAGGCAGTTAACTAATAGTTAAAGGTTAATTGGAGTTAAATACTGTTAGCTAAAACACAAAATATTACATAAAGAAATGTACAAATGTTACACTGGACACCACAGTTTGTTTGTTTGTTTGTTTGTTTGTTTGTTTGTTTACTTACCAGCTTTTTCCAGACAGGGACCCAAGATAGCTTACAGATAACATAAGAACAGCTAAAAACATAGCCCAGAGTTGGGGGAGTATTAAGAAACAATTAAAAAATAAAAGAAGAGAAACTCTCTCTTATATTTAAACCATACAGATAATTACCATAGAAACAGCCCTTTCATTAAAAGCAATCAGTGGAATAAAAAGGTCTTCACTTGCTGGCAGGACAACAAGGAGGGAGCCACTCAAACTTCTCTAGGGCGGAAGTTCCAAAATTTGGGAGCAGCCACCAAGAAGGCCCTCTCCTGTGTTTCTACCAAGCATACCTGTGAGGGTGGTGGGACTGAGAGAAGGGCCTTCCCCAATGATCTATGAGGGAATATGGTCTTTCAGAGAGCTTGGACCTAAGCCATATAGGGCTTTATAGGTTAGAAGCAGCACTTTGAATTGTGCTTGGAAGCAGAGAAGTAGCGAGTGGAGGTGTTGTAACAAGGAAATTGTAAATAATAATAATAATAATAATAATAATAATAATAATAATAATAATTTTTATTTATATCCCACCCTCCCCAGCCAAAGCCAGGCTCAGGGCGGCTAACAACAAACAAATAATCAAACAATCAAATAATCCAACATTCTAAAACATTTCATTATAAAAATTAATTAAAATCAAATTAATGGCAACCGTTAAGCAAAGTTCTGTGCAGGTTGCCAGAGGAAGGAGTCAGGCTGGGCCCTGACCAAAGGCCTGGTGGAACAACTCTGTCTTGCAGGCCTTGCGGAAAGATGTCAGGTCCCGCAGGGCCCTAGTCTCTTGTGACAGAGCGTTCCACCAGATTGGAGCTGCAGCCGAGAAAGCCCTGGCTCTAGTTGAGGCCAGCCTAACCTCTCTGAGGCCTGGGACCTTCAGGATGTTTTTATTTGCAGACCGTAGGTTCCTCTGTGGGGCATACCAGGAGAGGCGGTCCCGTAGGTACGAGGGTCCTAGGCCGTATAGGGCTTTAAAGGTTAAAACCAGCACCTTAAACCTGATCCTGTACTCCACCGGGAGCCAGTGCAGCTGGTATAGTACCGGATGAATGTGATCTCGCAGCGAAGACCCCATAAGGAGTCTCGCCGCGGCATTCTGCACCCGCTGGAGTTTCTGGGTCAGTCTCAAGGGCAGCCTCACGTAGAGCGAGTTACAATAATCCAGTCTGGAGGTGACCGTCGCGTGGATCACAGTGGCTAGGTCGGGCGAGAGAGATAAGGGGCCAGCTGCTTAGCTTGGCGGAGATGAAAAAATGCCGCCTTTGTTATAGCTGTAATCTGCGCCTCCATAGAGAGGGAGGTATCGAAGATTACACCCAAACTCTTAACGGACGGTGCTGGCACTAATTGCACCCCCGCAAGAGATGGGAGTTGCCCCCCCAATCCCATATCGTCCCGTCCCAGCCAGAGGACCTCTGTCTTCGAAGGATTTAGCTTCAACCGGCTTCCACGTAACCATCCAGCCACAGCTTCCAAACATCTGGTCAGTGTGTCTGGGGCCGAGTCAGGATGGCCATCCATCAACAGATAGAGTTGGGTGTCATCGGCATACTGATGGCAACCCAGCCCAAAACTCTGGACAAGCTGGGCGAGGGGGCGCATAAAGATGTTGAAAAGCATCAGGGAGAGTATCGCACCCTGAGGCACTCCACACACCAAGGAGTGGCGCGATGACAATTCCCCCCCAAGCGCCACCCTCTGTCCCCGACCAGAGAGAAACGAGCGCAGCCATTGAAGGACTGTGCCCTGGATCCCCATGTCGGCAAGGCGGTGGTCCAGGAGTTCGTGATCGACCATGTCGAAGGCTGCTGACAGGTCTAGAAGAATTATCCTCCTATATCAGAAAAAATATCAAAGCCATTTACAATAGCACATTTTCGTTAAAAAAAACCCCATAACCACTTAAAATCAGAGCCCAGTAACAAACTATTATGGAGAAACGTATTCTTCATTGCCCTCATAAGCCTGGCAGAACAAAGTTTTCAGTTGGCTTAAAAGTCTTAAAGGCTTAAAAGTCAGAAGGCTTTTGTGGAATGGTTCTAGAACAAGGGAAATGCTATTTTTTAGACGGAGGTGAAATATCACGTTGATTTTTGACTTAAAGGGAAGGGAAAGTGTAGATTTTGACTTTCCCGTAAGAACAGAAAATGATCTACTGTTCAAAGCTTTGGAACAAAATGGTTCATTAGTTCCCCTCCCCTTGCATATCTGAGGAATGTCATGCCCTCACAATGGCACACATTTTGAACTCTTTCCAATTTCAGATATTTCCCATCTCTTTTAATACCTCATTGCTTTTGCATCAATTACAGCCTGACCTAAAGCCTCACTGGAAGTAGATATGATATATAGTGGAATCTATTTAAATGAATTTCTGATGAAAGAATAAAACTGTTAAAAGAATAAATTTACCACACACAGATTTATACAAATCCAGTATATGCAGTGAAATCCTCTTAAATGAAAAACTGATGAAAGATTAAAATGTTAAATGAATTAAAACCCAGCATCCCAGTGATATATAATGATGATTTGACCTATTAAAGGAGAGAACCTGATGAACATAGTACCAGTGGAGTGCTCCAGGATGTCAGTTTTTAAATATGCAGTGAAACTCTGTAAAGTAAATACATGATCAATATATATATCTATTAAGACTAAATTTATTGTAGACTAAATAAATAGTAGACATTTATTACTCTTGCTCACTCGGTAGGTGAATGCAGTATGTCGTCTGTTGCTAATGGATGCGAGAAGCATGTGCTACAGACTGCTAAGAATTTAACTCAACGTGTGAATCAGAGGATTATTGCATTCAAAGGTATGCAGCCCATTCACCTAGTCGGACTAAATCAGAACATGCAGGAGGGGGACAGGGAGGGATTATCACACATTGTACCTGTGGCTCTGTAGATGGGCATTTTGCTTAATACATCACAGAAAATGACTGCACAGTTCCTGTGTTGCAAGAGAAGCATGGATGATAATGTGTGATGTGCATAAAGGTCTCTCTTACTCATGATTCTTTTCACACACTACACTGACACCCACATTATCTTTGAAAAGGGCAAAAGAAATTCTCTTTAAAAAATTAATGCACATATGTGTAACCAACCTCCTGGAGGGGATTGTTATTATTAGCTGTATTGCTTTCATCACCTGCCGAACCTTTTTGTTGAAGCAGGCCTGTCCAGACGTGTAAATTTGGCATGTATATTTATATGTCGTTTTATTTTATAATGAATATTTTAAAACTGCTATGGGAAAAAAAATCAAGCTAGCTTGTTTCTAACGGCTACTTTACCAGTAATTTTAATGTATATTATTTGCAAAGCACTTAGAAATTTTGATGATTAAGTGACATATAATCTTGGACTACTGCAACGCGCTCTATGTGGGGCTACCTTTGAAGGTGACCCAGAAACTACAACTAATCCAGAATGCAGCAGCTAGACTGATGACTGGGAGTGGCTGCCGAGACCACATAACACCGGTCTTCAAAGACCTACATTAGCTCCCAGTACGTTTCCGAGCACAATTCAAAGTGTTGGTGTTTAGCGTTTAGGCCTTTAAAGCCCTAAACAGCCTCGGTCCAGTATACCTGAAGGAGCTTCTCCACCCCCATCGTTCTGCCCGGACATTGCGGTCCAGCGCCGAGGGCCTTCTGCCGGTTCCCTCGCTGCAAGAAGCCAAGTTACAGTGAACCAGGCAGAGGGCCTTCTTGGTAGTGGCACCCACCCTGTGGAACGCCCTCCCACCAGATGTCAAAGAGAAAAACAACTATCTGACTTTTAGAAGACATCTGAAGGCAGCCCTGTTTAGGGAAGCTTTTAATGTTTAATAGACTATTGTATTTTAATATTTTGTTGGAAGGCACCCAGAGTGGCTGGGGAAACCCAGCCAGATGGGTGGGGTATTAATAATAATAATAATAAAATAACAACAACAAATAAATTGCATTATTGGGGAGCAAGAGCCTGAAACAGAGTGCTATTAACATCTTCAGGGTTCTCTCCTGCATGCCCCTAGTGAGGAGTATATAGCACTGAACAGATGCCTGCTTTACAACAAGATAGAGTTCCCTTTTGCAGAGGGAGCGGGGAAGGGAAGATCCCATGGTGTTGAACTACAGTGGCCCCTCAGAGGTGTATCTGGCTCCATAACTAGACAGCTTTCAGCGAATGGTGAAGACGCACCTCTTTGCCCTGGCTTTTGACACCTGAGATGATGATGATGATAATGATGATGATGATGATTTATTTATACTCCGCCCATCTGGCTGGGTTTCCCCAGCCAGTCTGGGAGGCTCCAAACAGAATATTAAAAACACGTTAAAACATCAAACATTAAAAACTTCTCTAAACAGGGCTGCCTTCAGATGTCTTCTAAAAATCAGATAGTTGTTTATTTCCTTGACATCTGGTGGGAGGGCATTCCACAGGGTGGGCACCACTACCGAGAAGGCCCTCTGCCTGGTTCCCTGTAACCTCACTTCTCACAGTGAGATGTGTGGTTTTGGGGGACTCATACTGTTCCTGAAACTGTAAACTGTTTTAATTGTTTTAAACTCTGAATTTTAAATTGTTGTAACCTACCCTGGATCTGCTGGTGAAGGCCAAGTAATAAATTTAATAAATAATAAAATAATAATAATACTATCACTTACACAAGTTTTTAAGGTTTTAATTTGTGTCGACCACAGCAAACTATGGCAAGTTCTTAAAGAAATGGGAGTGCCTGATCACCTCATCTGTCTCCTGAGAAATCTCTATGTGGGACAAGAAACTACAGTTAGAACTGGATATGGAACAACTGATTGGCTCAAAATTGGGAAAGAAGTACGACAAGGCTATATATTGTCTCCCTGCTTATTTAACTTATATGCAGAATTCATCACGTGAAAGGCTGGGCTGGATGAATCCCAAACTGGAATTAAGATTGCTGGAAGAAATATCAACAACCTCAGATATGCAGATGACACAACCTTGATGGCAGAAAGTGAGGAGCAATTAAAGAACCTTTTAATGAGGGTGAAAGAGGAGAGCGCAAAATATGGTCTGAAGCTCAACATCAAAAGAACTGAGATCAAGGCCACTGGTCCCATCACCTCCTGGCAAATAGAAGAGGAAGAAATAGAGGCAGTGAGAGATTTTACTTTCTTGGGCTCCATGATCACTGTAGATGATGACAGCAGTCACGAAATTAAAAGATGCCTGCTTCTTGGGAGAAAAGCAATGAGAAACCTAGACAGCACCTTAAAAAGCAGAGACATCACCTTGCCAACAAAGGTCCGTATAGTTAAAGCCGTGGTTTTCCCAGTAGTGATGTATGGAGGTGAGAGCTGGACCATAAAGAAGGTTGATTGCCGAAGAATTGATGCTTTTGAATTATGGTGCTGGAGGAGACTCTTGAGAATCCCATGGACTGCAAGAAGATCAGTCCTATCCATTCTTAAGGAAATCAGCCCTGAGTGCTCACTGGAAGGACAGATCCTGAAGCTGAGGCTCCAATACTTTGGCCACCTCATGAGAAGAGAAGACTCCCTGGAAAAGACCCTGATGTTGGGAAAGATTGAGGGCACAAGGAGAAGGGGACGACAGAGGACGAGATGGTTGGACAGTGCTCTCGAAGCTACCAGCATGAGTTTGACCAACCTGTGGGAGGCAGTGGAATAGAGGAGTGCCTGGCGTGCTCTGGTCCATGGGGTCACGAAGAGTCGGACACAACTAAACAACTAAACAACAACAGAAAAATAAAGAACATCAATAAATAATTATACAAAAATAATAAATAAAGTGTGAGTGTGTTGTAATGATATATAGTCATACTTCATGTTACGTTTGCTTCCTGATAGGTTGTGTCCCGCAGAGAACCAGAAGTACCGGAAAGGCTTACTTCTGGGTTTTGCTGCTCGCGCATGCGCAGAAGCGGCGAATTGCAACCCCCACATGCACAGATGCACCACTGCAGGTTGCGTTCTGCTCATGTTGCGAACGGGCCTCCGGAACGGATCCCGTTCGCAACCATAGGTACCACTGTATAACTCTTCTACAGCATTTGTTTGTGTCTTGGTTACCAAGTTATTAATGAAATCATGTCTATATTTTCTTTTTTCTAGCAGTGCTTCCAAAGAAAGGCAAAAACACTTCATGAAGCAGTAATGAAAAACGTGATAAAACATTAAAAGAAACCAATTTTCTCCAATGCCTCTTTTCTCATATCAAGCATACCAAGACATTTACAACATTCCTGCCTGCATTGCTTATTTGTTTTTTTCCCTCAGCAACCGCTGCACATTACAGACTCTTGCAGCACTCCAGGGGCCATCTCCCTTCCCTCAAGGGGGAAAAAGATGGCATGGTGCTCCTATCTTCCCTCCAAGAGGACATACATATACTTCTCAAGAACTAAATCAGGGGTAGTCAGGCTTTTTATACCTACCGCCCACTAATTCATCTTTCTTGAGGGTAAAATTTCCTTACCACCCACCAGTGCTCGATGGAAGGAGGATTCAGCTTGTGCCGTAGAACCCCCTACCGCCCACCTAGAATCCTGAAACGCCCACTAGTGGGTGGTAGGGACCAGGTTGACAACCCATCAACCCCTAACACCCAATAGCTGTTTTTAAATGATAAAACCCTGGAGGATCCAGTTCATTGTTCTCCAAAAATACATCTTGTTTGATCTTAAGGATGCTTTATTTTCAAGCTTCATAATGTATGTTTTGGGCCTTCTTAAAAACACTTCTTTGCAACTGTTTAAACTCACTGTCGTGATTCTTTATTATTATTTTTGCCATTCTGCAAGTTAATTAAATGTGCCTAGCAGAATATGTATTAAGGAACACTATTCTTAAATAATTGTTTTGTTCTGCTGAGGGGAATAAAAGTCATTGCCAGATCCACTGTAATAGCAGAAAACAAGTTTAAATCTAGATTTGAATTGGCAAGATTTTTTTTAGATGTGAAACCCCCTCCCCCATACTACTTCTTTTAAATCAGTGGGATGATCATGCCGAATCCACTGATATATCTTTGAAAGAAACACCAACCAGAGTTGTCCATCATATATACGCAATGCAGGAGACGTAGACGATTAGATGAATGTAATAAAGGACAACCAAAATGATTCTGAGCTTTGCGAATTAGAGTTTTGAAAGAAGGTTAATCAGTCTTGCCCTTTATAGCTCATGTTAAGGAGACTAAGAGGGCGATCTCCTTGAGAAACACAAGTTACTTTAGAGATGAGAACAGATTGTTCTCCCCAACAATCTGTTTAAGATAGCAACTAGCTAAAATGAATGAGAGATGGATATATAAAGAGAAGGCCACCTAAAATCAATACAGATTTGATGGGGCTCACAGGAACAAAGTCATAAAATCCAATAAGGGCAATGGGATTGGTGAATGAACCCTTGCAGGACAAACACTTCTGTTAACCAGGAGGCTTCTCAAAGCAGCATTAAGAGTGAAAGGATGCTTGATACAGGCAGAGCGAGAGTCAGGATCCTTGGGCACATACTGAGGTGCACATCACAAAGCAGGGGGCACTGCCAATTTCTGGAACCCCCTGACTCTGCTGTTTCTGCTGTGCCTGTTCATCAGCCTCCTGTAAGCAGCTGGGCAATGGTAGGAGGAGGAAGGAACTGCCACTTCCACTCACCTTCCCTTTTGGGTGGCTGTGTGGATTGGCCCAAAGGCAGAGGGCAAGTGAACTGGCTGTGGTGAAAAAGACATGGCCAACTCAGGCAGCAGGTCCTCTGAGGTCATGTTGGCCAAGGACTTCCCCAAACCTGGATCCAGCACCGGATACAGGAAGAGTCTTAGGGCATACCAATTAGAAGAGTCCCAAACCTCAGCCGGGAGCAGCAGGGCAGAATCAAGTGGCAGGTCCATCACCAGATCCAAAAAATCAATCAGGGTAGAAAGTGGTATTTTGTTTTTCTATTTTGCTGTGCAAACTCTAGGCTTGAGCAGCCTGGGAAATGGGCCACTTTTGGATCCACTGGGTCTGTTTTCCTTTTCTCTATAATTCCCCATTGTGGGGTCTTGTGCTAGGTATCAAGGTGGGAACACCACGGGTGGTAACTTCCTAAACACTCTACTTTGGGTGGGTGCCGCAGGGGCCTCTGTGAAAGGCAGCCCCAGCTGAAGGCCAATGCTATTCTATGGACACCCTGCATCAGCCTTGCCATGCAGTTCAATGTAGAGCAGGGGTAGCCAACATGGCACCCTCTTAATGTTGTTGGACTACAACTCCCATTTCCCATCACAACTGGCTATGCTGACTTGGCTGGTGAAGGCACCACATTGGCTATCCCTGGTGCACTGCCCATTGCTGAAATGACTGGAAAAGACCTTGCAAGTAGATGATTTCTGTTCTCAATCAAAGTCCACAAATGCTGGCTTTATTGCAGTGTCTGGCTAAAGCATCTCCCCAACGTTAATTTCCTTTGTACTGCCAAAACCCATGAAAACCACAACCCTCTCCCAGTAAATCTGCCCCTTCCCATGCTTTAGTTATCTTCTTCCTTGTTGTGTTTGTCATGATCTTTGTATCAGCACTAGAAGTAAATAAATCAAATGAATTTTAAGTTATTCATGTTGTTTGTAGAGGGTGGGGGATGAGAGCTGGGATTTAAGGCTTCGGGAAAGTGGTGTGCAGTAGGCTAATCTGCTTTAATACAGGGAAATCATTCCAAAGCCATGCTGGCTCTGAAGTGTTCTTTGTTTTGTTTCTGTGTATATGAAAAAGCAAAATACTTAGTACATTACGGCAATAATTGCTGTGAATATAAGCCGAATGTATTTTCATATACTATAGACATCCATGTTTCATTAAGGACAATCAAAGAGCAATTTTCTGTGTATGTCTTTGTGTGTTTGTAAGGAAAGAAATAATTGGTACTAAAGAAAGAGTTCCATGTTTCACCAAACACCTGACTTCATTTACATCAAGATTATTGGTGTCACCTTCCAGTAAGTCAGGAAAACCTGCCAGGGTAATTAATATATGGAGAGCAGAGTTTGCGACTTTGTCAAGTATTTATGAAGTATTTAGTGCACCCTTCTTTTCATTATAATTTCAGAGCATTTAAATGTAGTTGTCATGCTCTGAGTTATGATTTGCCTTTTTCTATGAAAGGAAAGCTTTTTTTTTATTTGTGTCATAGAATGCTGGGATTCTTGGGGTTCAGTATTAAATACAATATTTCATACTTTGTGGCATAATCACAGCCTTGGAGATTTCCAGACCCCCTGCAAATAATAAAGCCTTGCCTCTTCGTATTTATGCATGACTTCTGCTTCACCTCTTGAACCTTTTCAACATACTGTCAAGCAGACTCTATTTTCTCTGATTATCCGAGATTACTTTCCGTCCTCTCAAATGCAGTTCATTACTTTCTTCAATGGAATTCCAAATCTGTGCTCTAACAGATTCCTAAACCTTAGCAAACCTGTACATTACTAAGCCTTCGCTGTGCTTGCCATATGGTTAACCTGATTTCAGTGACCCAAATCACATAATTTTGATTAATGATGTGTAATTAGAAAAAATACCATGCTGGCAGTAATTAAGTCCCTCATGAGCTTATCTCCACCAGCCATGTAAGGAAAGCTATTTGACAAGCTGAAGAACCCATAGAAAATGTAGGGTGTGAATTCAGCCCCTCATATCATTTCAGGTCGTCTTGCTAAGCATATTTATTTATATGAAGACCTCACTAAAATCAATAGTACTAGAATCAGTCAGTGGGATATGGGTACATGATCCATAGCTTATGCACACATCACATGACTTTATGGATCAGGAACTGTGGCATCAACTGAATGTATATGTGTATTTGAATGTTTAATTATACATTGAAATGTGCATCACTATTCATACTGTAAGAACCAAGAAGACCCTCTTGGACTAGAGTCCAGCACCCTGTTCTCACCGTGGCTGCCCACATGCCTGTGGGAAACCTGTAAGCAGACCCGAGCACAAGAGGGTTCTCATCTCTTGTGGTCTCTAGCAATCGGTATTCAGAAGCAAACTACCTCCAGCTATGATTAATCCACATTCTGTTACTGTGATTAATCCAGAGAATCCACATTTTTTGACAGACTAGGCACACATAAATATCTTTTTTTAAAAATAAGCAACAAGCTAGTCTGGAATTTTTAAGCCACCACATGCTAATACTGCAAGGTAGTTGTGTCATCTCAAAAATTAAAACCAAAAAACCAAAACTGGTTTTCAGTTGCATCTGGGAAGCTGTTAAGTTTTGCTGCAATGTATTATTTTGTGACTTGACTGGACTGTGGATGTGTTTAGAAAGAGTTCACTAAAATGGCACCTGCAGGAACCATTCTGCTTTCCAGTACCTCCTTTGGAGTCCACAAACAATCTCAGTAAATCCCCTCAAAAATCTATATTGCCTGTTATGCCTTGTCTGCATTGAATGTGCCCTCTTAAACATCCCCACATTCATTGCCTGGACTAGACAACCACCCATTATTTCATTTTGAACAGAGGAGAGGTGCAAAGAGCTTCTCTCTATGATGGAGCATGGGGGTCGGTAGTGTAGATGCCTTTTCTCCAATGATGTGGGGAGGGCATGCCCGTACAATTTTGTGGGCCTGCCTCTTTTTCTGCTTTTTTGGGATGTCGTGGCCATATTGTGCCACATGTCCACCACAGCCATTGTGTATTATGCCTTCATTGGAGCTGATTTATGACTAATCTCCACAGCACTTTGTCAGACTTCCAGGTGTGCCTATAGGCCAAAAAGGTTGGCAACTCTGATATAAGTATCATGCCATATTAGAAAAAAGCAAAACACAACACTTAAGGTAGCCATGTTTCCAAAACCCATGGTTGGGCAGAGTTTTATTGGATCAACCAAAATGTCAGAGTATTGTAAGCAGGTACTTCATAACTCTTCAGCAGACTAGATGTCATACAAAGCAGGGGATGTAGGAATAAGGAAGAAAGGTGCAAAAATTAGGCTTTGTACTGTAGGAATGGAGGTTGGCATTTGGATTCAGTCTCAAGATGGAGATTGCAGATTGATTGATTGATTGATTGATTGAGTGAATGAGTGTCTGTTAGCTGCTGCACTGCTGCAGGATTCAGGTTACAGCTAGGATTCTGGGATACAGAAGCAATAGCTGATCTCCATTCTTAACATCACAAAGCCTGGCAGTTTCCAAAGATACATCTCACACCTCAGGCAAAACACATGTGTTCCTGGTAAGAAGAAGAGAACACAAGTCAAGAGAAATACAGCAGACTTCATATTAACAAAGCTGTAAAGCACTGTTATTTGTCTGATTAAGTGGGAGTTGGAGATCTTAAAATGGCCGTCAAATCACTTAGGATGTATCATGGTTAAAAGACCCATTATGCTGTGAGTTTGGCAGCTGTGCTCCAATTTGTACACCTGAACATAGACAGGCGGGTTTTAAATGTACATGTTAAAGGAGGTATATTTGGAGGTCTCAAAGCATTGGCTCATATTGCTCATTTCCATCTACAAGGAAAGTAAAAACTCATTTGGAATGAGCTTGGGGTAGTGTACGTGGTTGTCCCCCACTCAAGAGAGAGAGAGAAAGAGAGAGAATGAATGAATGAATGGCTAGCTGGCTGACCCAGGGCTGATTGGGTCATTCTGGTTTTCAATGGTCTTCCTGCACTGTTTTGTAATGCCACCCTACCTCCCAGAATACTGGTTTTCAGCACAGCTGTGGGAATAGCTGTTTGAGAATTGAAAATCACCTCTCTGCTGCCAAAACAAACGTACCCAGGAACAAGAGTGGGTTTTAGGTACGGATGGGAGACTACAACCATACCAACTGTCTGCAAGAAACAATCCTGAAAATTGACCCAAACAGAAAGAAGGTACTTCCCAAGTGCAAAGCTGCTTGGCTTGCTGATCTGGTCACATAGTTCACAGCAATCAATAACGGTTCCATTGCATGCAGAGAGATTACATTAAATAATTGCATATGCACCTACAAAGCAGCTGGCTTGTAGTTCACATTGCTTTTCAGCAATCAATGAGAGTTTTCGATAAGGGTTTCACTTAAAGTAAGGAGCTAACATTAAAGAACTTTTGCAATCTGGACATACTGAATGCTGACAATGCATGTGCAGAATTTTCTTTTATATTCTCACCTTGAAAAGGACATCTAAGAGAAAGGTTTTTGACTTGTAATACAGATGATCAGTACCAACATGAGAAATGCCCATTCCAAAGCAGGAAATCACAAACTTCTCTGCCAAAAAAGACCCAGCTGAGATAGTTAAAAGTGATTTGTAATAGTGGACATAATGCTTGTAATTTGAGGGACTTTTTACTTCCAGAATGACTTTGTAAGGCATATTCTGTATGTTGAACAGCACATAATCCATGTCCTAATTTGGTCTAGTGCAGACTGAACCTGCCTCCATTTCTCCTTCTCACTTCTAACCTCCCTTCCTCTTTTCTCATCTTACCTGGATGTTGTAAAGGCAGCAAGAACCCAAGATGGGAGCCACCTCATGGTCTCCAACACCATTCAGGAATACAAGGAACCATGAAAAACATACATATACAATAAATATGCACAAAATGGTTTCTGGTGGTTCTGGATACTTGTAATCAACACTAGTCTTATTAAAGCCCCAGCTGTGAGTCTTCCCTTTTGCTGCCACATCTAGATGTTAGGAAATGGAAAGAGTGACGGGAAGGCGGGGGTGGGGGGTACAGGTCAGTACTGGGTTAGCCTATACTGTAGAAGTTGCAGTCCTAAATTAGCCTATTATATGGCTGTGTGTGAATAAAATGCAAGCAGGTGAGCCCATGCCTCATTTCAAAGGCTTCTTTCCCGATATGCCTGATTATTAAAGATTCCTCTTGCTGTGAAATAATCTCCTTGCACAAAACATATTCAAGAGCTCCTGAATGAAGACTCCATTGTTGCAAATGCAATGTGCTACATAGATGACTCACTGGGAAGAAAGAAATGAGCAGATAATAAGGCATTCATCTAAGAAGTCACTCTTTTTGTATAGTTTTTTCCAGGTTTGTCTACACTAGGGATAATGCTGTCCTGCAGTTGTGGGCTTCAGTTCCCAACAGCCCCAGGAAGCACAGCCAGGGATCAAGGATGATGGGAGTTGATCTAATGACATCTGGAGGCACTGCACTGGATAACCCCCGAGTCTATGCTGTGCCAATGAAGGAAGAAGAACATGGTGCCAGGGATACCAGTTTATTTAAAGCTTCAGTTATTTATCATTTCTGTTTCTTTAAAAAGAATGTTACAGCTTTGGGCTGATACAAATCTATGTAGTTCATTCACAACTTCTGTATGACTAATTTCATATTGTTCAAAGTTTCTCCTAGTAAGTTTCTTGTCTCACATTATGAACATTTTTGTTCTTAGGCAGATACCAAGGTACCCACATAAGACAGCGTAATTTAAACTGATTAGGAAGGTGGCTCACCATTTACCTTTTCATTTTGTTTTAAGTAAGAACTATCCCAATAGGAAATTAATAGGGGGGGGTTATGTGGAAGAGGGGGGAGTGATCCATAATGCCATGACCTCAACAAATTTAAGGGAACAATTGTCATTATGTTTAAGAAAGGGACAAATATGTTCCATATTAAAAATTTAATGATGCTCAACCAGACTTGAGCATCTTTTGGTCTTCTTTTCTGAGATGAGATATTTCTAATTTAAAATTTAGTTTTTTGTCATGCCAGTGTCTAGAATGTCTTTCCTGGTGGTAAGAGCTTCCATATGTGCAAATCCTGGGCAATAAGAATACTGTAGTCTGGAGGTTAAAACTGTAGCACACTGCCACCTACAGTTAGTAGTAGCTTGAAGAGAATTCGATAGCTGTCTTGATTCTGAGTCTCTTCTCACATATCTCAGCAATCAAAGTTCTTAAAACTTTATCCACCAATAAAAGGCAATTCATTTTGTGAGATGCTTCCAGTTCTATGGTCTTGTAAATGTCACTATAAAGGCTTCTTGAGGTCAATACAAGTGCTTAGCGTACCAATCTGCAGAAGCAGAAAGAGCAGGGGAGAAAGGAGCTGTTTTACTGTTTGATTACAAAGGACATGTCTAGATCCTGAATGGCAGCCAAAAATTATTTGGTCTTGGGAATGTATAAATATGACATCAAGCCTGCTTTGTGTTTTGTTGATCCAGTCCAGTATGCACCGTATGCAACCCTCAGCATGGCTCGAATCAACCTAAAGGCTGGCTTTAATTGAATTGGTTGTCAAAGCTTCAAGGGGCCATTTTGAGAGCCATAGGGGCAATACTGCACATCCTAAGGGAACATTCTGGTTTTGTCCCCTTCCCTGCAGGCTGTTGATTGGATAGGAAAGTTCATGGCACTTGATGTTCTTTGACAGACAGTTACACTCGCCTGAGGGCACCTTTCACCCAACTGACAGCCTGATCCCCACTATATTCTTTCATGAAGATTTGCGAGTACATGCCAAAATGCTCAGTAGTGCTGTGAGTGAAGGAATGGTCTTGAGTTGCAAGAACACATTATGAAAATACTGAATTTTTAAGGGACATTTAAATCCAGTGAATTGAGATTGGCTGAGACTGAATATTAGCTGGTTTAAAGATAACCCAATCTAGACTGAAGGTTTTGGGTTGAGTCTTCTGGATGAATAATAATATTGGGTGGATTGTAATTATGTAATTTTCAAATTACTTACAGTGATATAGTCACATCAATTAAATTAATCCTCCTACTTAGTATATATTTAGTAGGCATTATAGGGCAGGAACCCAATCCTAGGGAAGTTTACTTGCATTGAGATAAATGAAACTTAATTACTTCCAGTTAACCATGCATATGTCTATGTATTGTTCATCACTGTCTGTCAAATCAGTATAGGTCCAAGACACAACACTGCCAATCCAGGTAGGGGCATACACACATTCTTCTCTTGTGAGCTGTTAGAATATGTTTATATAGGCATCCTATATAAATACAGTAATGAAGAAATGAAATAAGGTTTCATTTCCTACAGCTTGATAGTCCAATGAGCCTTTTTGTCCTTCCACGTGTAAAGATGAGCTCATATTCCAGTTTCTATTGAAATCACAATCTGTTAAAAGTTAAGGGTATCTAAAATGTGTGCTGGACACCCCATATGACTAGCATTATCAGTGCATATCTGTGCACATCTGCATAAATTTTGTTTGAATATGTCTATGGTAATGTGACAAACCAGGTACATGGGTGAATATACAGTAACCCTGCCCTTTCTATTTAGAATCTGAAGCCTGCCTAGTTTCCTAGATCCTTGTCTCTTTCTGTTTTCTGGGTAATACTGACCCTTGGCAGCCTTGTACATTTCATCAAATCCCCTACATTAATCTCTTAGATCATCATGCCCTCTCTAATGTTCTAATTAATATGCTCCCCATCAGCAGCCATATTACTCAACAAATGCCTTTCCTCTCTTTCTTTACAGATCCCCAGGTTATACTTTAGGTCACTGCCATTTTTCTTAGACTCAGGGCTCATATCTGTCTTTTGCAGATTCCTGTGCAGTGAGCACTCATCTAATCCCATCCTGCTACCAGCCACAATCATACATTTTCTTTCTGCCCTTCATTTAGCACAGGAGCTGTCCTCTTCTTCTTCATCATTCCAGTTTCTCCAAAGCCATATTAAAGTTTCCCTCTCAGCTACATCTATGTCCACACCGACATTTTCAAATCTTTTGGTATGTTTGTTGTCCCCTAAGCAAAGAAATAGTGCATTTCTGGTATGTTTACTTACTCCCACGATCATTTAGCTTCCTTCAGAGGAATTTCTGAAATTATTCAGGCATCTATTCAATGGCTGCATTCCCCATTCTTACTACTGGACCACCAAACCCATTTGAAGTCATGAAAGACACAGCCTATACTACTTGAAGTAATCTCCATTAAAATCAATGGACTTTATAGTGAACATTTTAAATTTTGGTCCATGCTGACATCAACACCCACCATCGAAATCTCACAAACTGCCTTTATTTATTGTGGAGCTAATAGTAGTTTATCTTTCACCCCAGCTGATGCAAAAGATTTTCAGTCCTTTGCTCTTCCTGACTCCACAATTTCTTTCATGCTGAGAAAGCCGCTACCTTAATCCATGCCTCACTTTTTTTAAAAAATCCCTGACTTCATTACTTATTTATTTTATTAACATATGCTTTCAGAGTTTCAAGATCCAAACATTTAATTAAAGCGGTCCATAAAAAATGGTGTAAAAATACTAGGGGAATTATTAGGTTTCCTCCCACTGGACCAGTATAACAGCCACATCCAACCGCATGTTCTACCAAAAACAAAAAAATGCATGGAATAGATGCTTGCAAGCTGTTTTGGAAAACTAAAAGAGGAAAGGTGTTATATTGAGAACCATTGCATGTGTATGAGAGAGAGGTTACATTGATCCTGAATGAAGTATAGTAGCTGTGTAATTTTAAACTATGGAGCTGTGAACATGGGAATAAAATATATATAATTCTACTGGGGAGGGCAGAGATGGCCATAGTGGTAATCCAATGGATCCCTTTTTCACACAATTCTACCAAAAAAGATAATTTGTATTAAGGAAGCAGATGGGGGCAGCCATCATTTGTGATTCAAACTGTGTGGCAATAAGGCTGCGTACAAATAATAGCTTCTTGGTGATTTTTAGGCATTTTTGCTAGTGATACATATTTTTCATTTTGCTATCCCGCGGTGTTCCCTGGCCAACAGGTTCAACAAGTCTTTGTAATGTTTTTAAATCAATATAAAACATGCCCCCCCAAGACTACAGTAAACCAGAAAAATGAAAACATATGCCATAAGCAATGGTGACTCTGGTATAATATAAATGTATATGCAGGTGCAACGTAAGGAAGCCACCACCAACCTGATTCCTTCCAGATGTTTTTGACTACAATTCTGCTGGGGTTGATAGGAGCTGTATGTCAAAATATGTAGAGAGCAGCAGCTTAAGAGATATGCTGTTCTGTCCATGATGCAAACTACCTTTCTTTAGCTATCAAACCATTGTTTTAGTCTGGGAACCTTTGGCCTTCCAGATGTTGGACTGCAGCTTTCATCATCCCTAACAATTGGCCATGTTGGCTGAGACTGATGTCAGCTGGTCCAATAACACCCGAAGGGCCACAGTTTCCCTGACTCTTCATTAGTCTGCCATAGAACTGACAACAATTTACAGTGGTGCCTCGCAAGACGAAATTAATTCGTTCTGCGAGTTTTTTCGTCTAGTGAATTTTTCGTCTTGCGAAGCACGGTTTCCCATAGGAATGCATTGAAAATCAATTAATGCGTTCCTATGGTCAAAATAAGTCCAAACAAAGCCAAATTTGGTACAAAAAGAGTTTATTAAGTGCTCTTTAAAGTCACACATACTGTAAAGAGTATTTCAAAAATTGAAGGAACAATAATTTAAGTTTCTAAACATGACAGAAAAGCATTTAAAAATCACCAAAGTGTACAGTACTGTACTCTACATACATTTTCTAAGACTCTGGGGGACAACTCGAAGAAGGTTCCTCTTTCACTCTTTGCTTCTTGCTGAAGAACCTGTCCATGGTCTGCTGCTTCATCCGCCTTTTCAGCACCTCCCTGAAAGACGACATGACCCTCGTATCAAAAGTGTTCGCAAGGTCACGTGTCAGGTCCTTGTCAGGGTGGTGCCGCTGTGCAAAAGCCTGCACATCTTTCCACTTCAGGCAAATGTCCCTCAGTTCTTTGGAGGACAGCCGTTCCTCAGTTGCTTCCTCCTCTTCTAGCGAGGCCTGCTCCTGTGCAGCCTCTGCCTGCAGTTCGACCAGCTCCTGGGTGGTCAGCTCATGGTCGTGCTCCTCCACCAGCTCGCTGACGTCCTCCTCTGTGACCTCCAGGCCCATGGTCCTCCCCAAGGAAACAATGTCCTGCACCACTGTTGACTCTGGTGCATCAGAGTCACTTGGTGCCACACAGTCCGGCCACAGGCTGCGCCAAGCGCAATTCAAATTTCTCTGGCTGATCCCGTCCCAGGCCGTGGTGATCATCTTCAAGCAGGTGACGATGTCGAAGTGGTCCTTCCAGAATTCCTGCAGGGTGATGTTGGTGCAATCAGTCACCTCGAAGCATCGCCTGAAAAGCTCCTTGGTGTAGAGTTTTTTGAAATTGGCGATGAGCTGCTGATCCATCGGCTGGAGCAGTGGCGTGGTGTTAGGCGGCAGGAACATGATGTTGATGAAGCTGAACTCCTCCAACAAGTCCTCCTCAAGGCCTTTAGGATGAGCAGGAGCATTGTCCATCAGAAGCAAAGCCTTCAGCGGCAGGTCGTTGTCCAGCAGGTACTGTTTGACAGCAGAGCCAAAAGCAAGATTGACCCAGTCCACAAACAGCGCATGTGTGACCCAAGCCTTACTATTGGAT